TGTCCCTTCTCTTGCCTACATCCCAGCTCCCTTTGCCCTGCCCACCATCCTTCCCCATTGTCCACCACCTCACCCGGTGTTTCTCAGCGATGCCTTTTCTTAAGAAGATGCAGGCAGGGCCCATGGGAAACTGCATGGAGTGGGCAGGGCAGAGCTCACCAGGTGCCAATCTCAAGACGGCTCCCCCTCCTTCCTGTCCCCTTTGGTGGCTCAGGCTCCTTATCTTCTCTACCACTCCTTTGCCAACTCTTCCTGCCTCTCTTGGCCTCTTCCTCGGTCCCCCAGCTCCCTAAGAGCTGTGACAGCTGGGTTGGAAATCTCTACTCAGGTTGGAGAGGGATCAGAGTTGTTTCTGCCTCCCCATCTGGCTCGAGTGAGGCTGGAGGGGGAGCCAGTGTCAGGCTCTGACCTTTTATCCCCAGAATGGAATTGGAAGGATAGTTTTGAAACGAGGATTAGAGCAGAGGGCATCCATTCATACCATGTTCCAACAGGCACACTGAGTGCTGTCTAAGCCTGGCCTCGGCTGCCCTTTGAGCAGGGGAAGATGGAGAGGACGTGGCCTGGATTAAAGAGCTCTTGAGTAAGTCAGGAATGTGTGTAAATGAGAATGCAAAACTTACATGACAACCTGATTTTAGGAATAGGTGTACGTGGTGGTTAAGAGAATGGTATTTGCTCTTCCTCTGCTTATCTCTCCCCTTCCTTTTTTTCTGAATAATTCGGGGGGGGGGCAAAGTAGGCATCCATGCTGCTGAGGGTGGTCAGAGCCCAAGGAGGCAATCCTGTCTGCTCAGGATGGGGAGGGGACTGGGGGCCATTAGTGTGGGGGGCCAGAGTTTCAGTAGGGTAGTAGAGTGAGGGGGAGGCCCCCAGTGGGGACAGCACGGTGCAGAGCGTTGGGGCCTGGGAGGGGGAGGATGAGTCCATGGAGCTCTGTGGTGTTGGAATGGAACTGAAAGCATTGGCATGTGCGCGTGGATTTCAATACAGAGAGCACAGACGTCACTGTGTGTGTAGGGACACTGGAACACAGATTCTCTAAGAGGACATGGAAGCAGCGGCACCCTAGTGTTAATGAACACCTCTGGCATCCAGATCTTGACTTCTAAGTACCATTCTCTGCTAAATAGGAGCCAAGACTCCTAGAAGAAACAGCTGATACCATGTCTGGAGCAGGACAAGTATTACAAGATGAGCCTAAAACATCTGGCGCCATAAAGCAGGAATGTGCTCAGTTATGGGGACAGGACAAAAGAACACAGAGGTCAGCTTTAAGAAGCTCCACTGGCCATATCAGGGGAAATTTGAAAATCAAACTAACAGTAACAAATTATATGGGACAAGCGGGAAACCAGGAGTCCATACAAAGATAAAGATAAGCGGAAAGTTTGATAATATTTACATAGCTCAAAGACGTCCTCACAAAATACTAATTTCAAAGGAGGGTCACTTTATAGTGGGAAAATCTAGCAGACACTTTCTTTTTTGTTTTTATTTATTTTCTGTTTCTTCTGGGGGGTTTTTGAGGGAGGGGCAATTAGGTTTATTTATTTATTTTTTAATGGAGGTACTAGGGGTTGAACCCAGGACCCAGGACCTCGTGCATGCTGAGCACGTGCTCTGCCACTGAGCTATACCCTCCCCCTACCTTGGCAATTTCTTAAATGATTAAAATGATCATCAGTAATGTAACAAATCAAAATGATGGATTTCAATTCATATTGAATTATGAATTTTTGCTCCAGCAAAGCTCCCTGGCTGCTCTCCTGCATGCTCTTCCCAGAACCCTTCCGGCATCATCTCCCCCTGATGGCTTCCGACAATTTTTAGAAGGACAAGATTTACACCACAGGGACTCCAGTCTCTGCCGCTCCCCTCAGCTCCAGGCTCATCTCTGCAGGGGCCAAGTACTCCAGCGGTCAGCGTGATCTTTTCACCCCCAGACCTCACTGTGCCCTTTCTCTGCCTGCGGGATAAGGTTCCATACCCCTGCAGGGGCACGCAGGGCTCTCCACGAGGCACTCTGGTTGGGGGGTGAGTGCAGGGTCACCAGCAGACTGCCCAGACCAAATCCTGGCCCTCCATTTCTTAGACAGTGAACCTGCGGAAAGTAACTTACATCCCTGTGCATCAGTGTGTTCATGTGCTCAAAGCAGATGATAAAAGCAGCTACCTGGGGGGGGGGGAGGTGTCATGAGGGTCATTGGTAAGCGAGGATGTCCCTGCCCAGCCCTGGCAGAGGGACATGGCAGCTGTGGCTGCTTGAGGAATGTGGTTCCAAGGGAACCACAGGGCTCCACATAGAGCTGGACAGTCAGGGGGTCCCAGACACACAATATTTAACACCTAGTCAAACAAATACTTTCCCTTAAATGCTTTATTTGAACTTAATATAAATGCACATTAACTTGCCCCTCGTGCTGTATCAGTTAGGATGCAGCTTCAGCTATGAGAAGCAAGCATGTTTACAGTCGTGCAGTCCCAGTGGGATTTAGTCATTCTCCCACCTCCAGTCCACCCCTGGGACAAGAAGCCCAGCTAGGTGGCTGCTGCCCTTAGTTCACTAAGGGTCATCAGGGAGCCTTTCTGTGACTCTCTGCCTTGTTCCTTATGATCACAAAGTGGCAGCCCCAGCTCCCACCATCATACCCACAATCAGGGCAGGAAGCAAGGAAGGGCTGCCACAACTGGATCTCCTTTTTGATCAGGAAAAACAGCCCTGACCACACTCCAGGCATGGTGCTATATGGGCCAAGGAAGTGAGGATGAGTAAAACCAGTGCATCCACTGCCTGCCCTCACAGGGTCAGGTCTGGAAAACTGCGCTGACAATTCAGAGGCCAGGCCTGGTCACCAGATGGCAGGTGGCAGAGGTGGGTGTCTCACACAAGTCCCGGCATGTACCGTCTCCCAACAGGATGGGGACCGTACCTGAAAGGTGGGAGGCCCAGGGCCAGGCTGCTGAGTCAGAACCCCGGTGTGCTGGCCCTCCCAGTGCCCTTGGGGAGCCACCGCCTCTCTCTGTGGTTCCTCATCTGGGAAACAGTGCTCTGGGCAGTGCCTATGTGGCAGGATTGCTGGGAGGGTAAATGAGTTAATTTACAGAGTTTAGATGGCCACCGTCCAATAAAATAGCCATTTAACCACATGGAGCTATTTAGATGAAAATAAATTAAAATCTTCTAGTCCTCAATCACAGTGGTCCTAGTCCTCAATCACACCGGTCCCATTTCAGTGCTTGACAGCCACGTGTGGACATAACACACTTCCATCACTGCGCGATCTCTATGGAAGGTGCTGGTTTAGATGGTTCCTGGCACACAGTTACACGCTCCCGAGGTGTGAGCTCTTAGAGCTGCACGCGCGGAGCCCAGCACGGACACAGAGCAGGTGTTCAATAATTATTTATTGGGGGAAAAAAGACTGAACCCCAGACCCCAGCTTAAAGCATCCCCACCCCCTACACACACCAGACTCTCGGAACCCACGCAGACTGCAACACCAGATGTGCTTAGCCACAGAGGCGACGCCCCAGGGTCCCCTCGGCCTCTGCCGCCCATGCCCCCGGGAGAGCAGAAGGCATCTAGTAGAAATCCTCTGGCTCGGAGTCCGGCTCTGCGCCGTGCTGGTTCTGAATCTGACTTTGCTTCCTGTACAGACAGGCCACCTGAGGCGAGAGCGGGGTGGGGGCGGCTCAGAAGGCCTGGGGCTAACCCTCCCCTCCCCTGCCCCCTGGAGCCTGCCGTCCCGCTCCCGGGCCGCACCTGCGCACTGGTGGTGGCCTGCTCCGGCTTCTTGTCCTCCCGGACGCGCAGAAACCGCGGGAAGCGCAGGGAGATGCCCTTCTCGCCGTCCACCTGGCGGAGGCGACAGAGCGGGTCGGGGCCCTGCGCGGGTCCAGCCCGCAGTCCGCGACTCCCCACCCAAAGCCTCCTCCTTAACCCTCCTCCTGCACCTCTGGCCTCAGTTTCCTGATCCGAACAATGCAGCTGAGCAAACGGCCGTCGTACAAATTAAAGGAGGTAATTGCGTGCGGGGGACCGATGACTGGCGGCTGAGCGCTGAACGCCCGCTGCCGCGGCTGCTCTTACGCTGCTGCCATCGCTATCAGCGCCCGGAGGCCGGACAGCACAAGGGTCCGCGTGTGGATTCTAGAACCAGACTGTGGGATTCAAACCCCAGCTCCCAGCTCTCAAGAGCCACGTCAGCCCGGGGCCAGTTCCACCCCCGGGGTTCTATGTCCCCATCTGTAAAACGGGGACGCTCAGTGTTTTTGTGACAATGACAAGCGTGAACGAGTGACGTGTCTGCTTAACATAAATGCTTGGTCAACACTGCTCCCATCACCCTTGTGTCCAGGGGACCCCGACTTCCTGATGTGGAGCACGAGTGAGGAATTTCAAGAAGGAAATCAGATTTTAAAAAAATATGAGTTCTGCCTTGGCAGGGGAGTCTGCTGCTAATCAGAACAGCACGTGCTAGATTTTTGAAGGATCGGAAAAATCTCAGAGGAAGTGCATTTTTAATTGAAGATTTCCCGTTCTTTGGAAGTGAGAGCTAAGAGCTGCCCGAGTGCTGGTCGCGGGGTAGTGGTTCCCCGGGACCCTGATCCGCTAGCTGGTGTTGAGGACTGAACCACTAGGGAGAGAAATTGGCCAAGGAATTTTAAAACTTGGTAGCGTGAACATTAACTACAGGTGACAAAGAAATGCGGTAGTTGACATAAATGCTCAGCAGGAAGTGTCTGAAGTTTTCACTTCAAAGAACTGTTTTCAAAAATTACTTACAAGCTGAATGTGAGATTATAATGTGTAAGAAACCAGCTTCACTGTTTTCTTTCTACTCCTGGGGAACTTCTTTTCTTTCCTTTTTCTTAATGAGAATGTGACCCTATAATCTGAAACCCCCAAAAAACGCAAGCTCGAGTTTTCCTAGTCATCACCAGGAAGTGCAGACGTGGGCTCCAAGATCCCCTCCTCACCATCCCCGCCCCCCAGTCCCCTCCAGTCCCCTTGTTACTCACCAGGCCCCGGGCAGCGGGGTAGATGGGGGAGAGGGAGAGGTCAGCGCACTTGACCTCCCACACGGCGCTGGGGTCCAGCCAGTGGTCGGGGGCCACGGCGCCATCTGCCCGGACGTAGGGGCGCGGGGCGGGCAGCACCAGGGCCTGCGGTCAGTGCGGGAATGAGGAAGAGAGAGTCTCAGATCTCAAAGTCAAGGCTGAGCGCTGGAGGGTTGGGGAGTGAGGAAGACGGGGAAAGGGGAGGGACCCTTCCAAGTACGAAGTGGTGGTGAGGGAAACAGGAGGAGGTGGGGAAAAGGCAAAAACTCCTGGAGCTGTGACAAGAAACTAGACAGAGCAAGTCACAGCTGACA